TCCGCATTTATTTGATGCAAATGTTTACGGGTTGCCAAACATGAAATTAAAGAAAAGATTACCTTCATAAGGATCCAATAAAAGCTTTGGAAATTATGCAATTAGGTCCATTAATTAATGTTATCCATGCTATTGGCTTAAATCCATTTTTCGTGCATTATTGGTCAAACTATCAAGTGAATGTATATAGAACGTATGCGAAAGATGAGACAGCTTGCATTTTCATTGACGCTACTGGGAGTATTATAAGAAAGATGAAAAGACCTGACCAATCAAAAACAAAACATATATTTTTATATAATTGTGTCGTTAATTCTGAAAAAAGTGATCTTTTCCCAGTAACACAAATGTTGTCTGAAACACAAAATACAAATGCAATTCAGTATTGGCTGATAGAATGGATGCGATCCGGTGCACCACGACCACGTGAAGTTGTATGTGATTTTTCACGTGCATTATTAAGAGGATGCTAAAAGGTCGAAATTACCGACAAATTACAGTTTAGTTAATTTCTCCGAATTGACTGAACGGAATTGAAAATCCTTTCAGAGGATTAAAATAGACATAAAATTGTGGTGTGAGACGAATGAATTTGTAGTAAAATCGCAAAAAAATTAAAAAACAGCTATCGCCTGACGTAAACATTTTATTATTGTAAAAGTTGTATAGCTAATATGTACAAAATGCTTACCTCTCACATCACAAAATTCCTGAACGAATCATACAGAGCTTTTTGAGTTCCGATTGAAAGCGTAGAAAAAAATATATTCACTAAACTGTAATTTCTGGTAATTCGTACGCTCGTCTAAAGTAAAGACAGCAAAAATTGCGTTTGGTAATAAGTGCCGGATTTTCCAAGAGATGGCACTTCAATAAGTTAAATAAGGACATTCTGCGTGTTTGAGGGAGACCAGAAGATATTGTAAGAATTTCATTTAAAGATACCACTGACACTGAAAAGTCTGCTTTATCGATCTTGTACAAATTTGGCCGATCTTTCAGCATCCTCTTAAGTCTTCTTAGTCTTACTTTCTTTACTGCTTACGTCTTACTGCTTAAGTTTTTCTGTATGCCATGGTCCTAACGCTAAAACGAATGTCTCATGAATTTGCACCTTAAGGCCTTTTTGTTGGTGGGGATTACTATGCCGAATGTGATTGATTGGCCACAGTAATATGGCGTTTTATACAAACTTTATTGGAGTTCGGGATTACTACGCCAAATGTGATTGGTTGGCTACAGTAATATGGCGTTTTGTAATGTTCCCCCCTTACGTCTGCTTAGCCAGGCCGCGGGGGAATATGCTCCCTTCTATTATTTCTTACCTCCATGCTTCCCTCGCCTAAGTTATGACTTGATTCCGTTCTGAACTGCTGTAGAAGAAGGATCGCTCCGGTCGACTCGTTTCGATCGTTCACGATTCCCTTAAATAAGTTGACTATAGCTACGAGTCATCAAGCATCAGAGCTTCGCTACACTCATACGCCATGGCATATGAGCTTTAAGAAAGATTTCGATTCTTTCGGTATTGATTTTACAACCTATTACTGTGTGGAACGGAATCCTTTGAATCCTGTGCATTGGGAATTAATAGAGAAAATAATAGAGAAGCTTTCTGACTGCTGAGATTGGGTGCATTGCGGACTTGTGATATACGAAGAAGTATATGTGGAGTAAAACAGCTGTGCTCCGGAATTACTCCGCCTTTCTCGGAAGGAAGAACTTGACACGAGAGATTAACGAAAACCTTCTCGAATCTTCGGCCGGCCGGATGAGCCTGCCTCTCGGTCGGGACAGAGGTGAGTCGATCAAACAAACCCAGCTCATACCTTAGATCTGCACATTGGCTTTTCTATTTATTCCGATAATTCAAGGTTAAATTCTTTTCATTATTGGTTA